AGCCGAAGAGCGGAATCCAAAACAATTTTTTATTCTTGGCCAAAACAGTCCTCCACAAATTGTAGAACAATTCGAGAAAGTCACGTACAATCGATGAAAATACTGATAACACAGATGTAGTACACTAACAAAAGCAATAGTAAACACTCAGCACAAAAATAATAACTCAATAAAAGCAATAACACACGCACTATGCAATCGTCTCTCTCTCTCTCAAGCAGAGAGGTATCACTTGCATGAAAGCTGAGATCTGACTAACTGACTAGCCGGCCCGGGCCCTTTTATACCTTTCGGTCAGAAACCTCTTGCACTTGCCAGAATAATCGAGAAATAGAAAGGTCTAGCAAAATCCGGAACGTACGAGAAAAGCTCAATACAGTAATACATTCAATACAATAGTGTTACAATACCGCGATAGGGTTGCCAGACAGGGTTATTAGGAGCAGGGTTGCCATGGTCGCCAAGCTTATCGCCCACATTTGGCGCCAAAAATTAAGTCGCCAAATCCGTCGCCAACTTGGCGCTAGCTGCAATATTTGGCGAGTTTACCATTTAAACCAATGTTAAAGCATGGGGGCCGTGCAATGCAGTGGAAATTATGTTACAGGTAAACAGGGTTGAAATCACATTAGATACGACAAATTAAACTGTAGAAATGAACACAAATGAGTAGAAACAATTAGAATAAGACTAAATTCGTAACAATATATATAGGTATGAAAATCCTTTCTCTTCCTAAAAAGACATTCCTCTTCTGGATCTAAAAATACCGGATACATCGAGTGTGAATCGAATGCACTATCAAAAGAAAAAAACGGAAGATTCGTCTTTTCATTAGAAACAACATACCGCTTCAGCAAATATTTGCAAAGTTACCATTGAGCATCGAACTCACGACTCCTGGTTTACAAGACCAGTGCTCCGCCACTGAGCTATGATGGTGACGGATTTCACTCAAATTACTCATTGCACATTCTTGTTTTTTTAGTGATATTTCTCTCGTTTATTAGATTTTTAAGTAAGAGAAACTTTTCTGTACCTAAAAAGACATTCCTCTTCTGGATCGAAATATTCCGGAAACATCGTGTTTGAATCGAATGAACTATCAAAAGAAAAATATGGAGGATGCGTCTTTTCATTAGAAACAACATACTGCTTAAGCTAATATTTGCAAAGCCACCAGTGAGGATCTAACTCTTAACCCCTGGTTTACAAGACCAGATCTCTGCAACTGAGCTATGATGGTGACGGATTTCGCTCTTATTACTCATTGGCAGAACACTGGTCTTGTAAACCAGGGGTCGTGAGTTCAAACCTCGCTGGTGGCTTTGCAAATATTTGCTCAAGCAGTATGTTGTTTCTAATAAAAAGACGTATTTTCCGTATTTTTTTTCTATAGTGTATTCGATTCTCACTCGATGTATCCGGAATATTTTGATCCAGAAGAAGAATGTCTTTTTAGGAAGAGAAAGTTTTCCTACCTGTATATATATATATATAAATTGCTATGCGAGAGAAATTTCACTAAAAAAACAAAAATGTGCAATTAGTAATATGAGTGAAATCTGTCGCCATCATAGCTCAGTGGCAGAGCACTGGTCTTATAAACCAGAAGTCGTGAGTTCGATCCTCACTGGTGGCTTTGCAAATATTTGCTCAAGCAGTATGTTGTTTCTAATGAAAAGACGCATCTTCCGTATTTTTCTTTTGATAGTGCATTCGATTCTCACTCGATATATCTGGAATATTTCGATCCAGAAGAGTTTAGGAAGAGAAAATTTTATCAAGCTTAAAATTTAATATACGAGAGAAATGTCACTAAAAAAACAAAAAAGTGCATTGAATAATGAGATTGAAATCCGTCGCCATCATAGCTCAGTGGCAGAGCACTGGTCTTGTAAACCAGGAGTCGTGAGTTCAATCCTCACTGGTGGCTTTGCAAAAAAGTTCTCAAGCAGTTAGTTGTTTCTAATGAAAAGACGCATGCTACGTATTTTTCTTATTATAGTGCATTCAATTAACACTCGATGTCGCCGGAATATTTCGTTCGAGAAGAGGAAATTTTTTTTTGGAACAGAAAATTTCTGATGCTTTAAAACTAATGCACGAGAGAAATAACAATAAAAAAACAAAAATGTGCATTTAGAAATAAGAGTGATCTCCGTCGCCGTCATAGTTCAGTGGAAGAACGCTGGTCTTGTAAACTAGGGGTTGTGATTTCGATCCTCACTGATTCCTTTGCAAATATTTGCTTAAGCAGTATGTTGTTTCTAATGAAAAGACGCATCGTCCGTATTTTTCTATTTTATAGTGCATTCGATTCTCACTCGATGTATCCGAAATATTTCGATCCAGAAGAGGAATGTCTTTTTAGGAAGAGAAAAGTTTCTCTTACTTAAAAATCTAATAAACGAGAGAAATGTCATTAAAAAAAACAAAAATGTGCAATGAGTAATAAGAGCGAAATCCACCGCCATCATATCTCAGCTGCAGAACTCTGGTCTTGTAAACCAGGGGTCGTGAGTTCGATCCTCAATGGTGTCTTTGCAAATATTTGCTCTAGCAGTATGTTGTTTCTAATGAAAATACGCATCTTCCGTATTTTTCTTTTGATAGTGCATTCGATTCACACACGATGTATCCGGAATTTTTCGATCTAGAAGAGGAATTTTTTTTTTGGAATAGAAAAGTTTCTGAAATTAATAAACTAATGTACGAGAGAAATAACAATAAAAAAACAAAATATGCATTTAGAAATAAGAGTGAGCTCCGTCGCCATCATATTTCAGTGGAAGAGCACTGGTCTTAAAAACAAGGGGTCGTGAGTTCGATGCTCACTGGTATCTTTGCAAATATTTGCTCAAGCAGTATGTTGTTTCTAATGAAAAGACGCATCTTCCGTATTTTTCTTTTTATAGTGCATTCGATTCTCACTCGATGTATCCGGAATATTTCGATCCAGAAGAAGGATGTCTTTTTAGGAAGAGAAAAATTTTTCCTGCTTAAAAAATTTAATATACGAGAGAAATATTACTAAAAAAACAAAAATGTGCATAGAGTAATAAGATTGAAATCTGTCGCCATCATAGCTCAGCGGCAGAGCACTGGTCTTGTAAACCAGGGGTCGTGCTTTCGATCCTCACGGGTGGCTTTACAAATAAATACTCAAGCAGTGAGTTGTTTCTAATGGAAAGACACATGCTGCGTACTTTTCCTATTATAGTGCATTCAATTCACACTTGATGTAACCGGAATATTTCGATCAAGAAGAGGAATTTTTTTTTCGAATAGGTAAGTTTCTGAAATTTATAAACTAATGTACGAGAGAAATCACAATCAAAAAACAAAATGTGCATTTAGAAATAAGAGCGAACTACGTCGCCACAATGGTTCAGTGGAAGAACACTGGTCTTGTTAACTAGGGGTTGTAAGTTTGATCCTGACTGGTTGCTTTGCAAATATTTGCTCAAGAAAAGTGTTGTTTCTAATAAAAAGACGCATGCTGCGGGTTTTTTTTATAAATCATTCGTTTCACATTTGATTTATCGGGAGTATTTCGATCCAGAGGAGGAATATCATTTTTAGAAGAGAAAAGTTTCTCATTCTTAAAAATTAATATACGAGAGAAATGTCACTAAAAAAACCAAAATGTTCATAGAGTAATAATAGTGAAAACCTTCACCATCATAGCTCAGTGGCAGAGCACTGGTCTTGTAATTGTAAACCAGGGGTCGTGAGTTCTGTTTTCCCTGGTGGCTTTACAAATAAATGCTCAAGCAGTGAGTTGTTTCTAATGGAACGACGCATGATGCGTATTTTTCTTCTTATAGTGCATTCAATTCACACTCGATGTATCCGGAATATTTCGATCCAGAAAAGGAAATTTTTTGGAAGAGAAAAGTTTCTGAAACTTTGAAACTAATGTACTAGAGAAATAACAATAAAAAAACAAAATGTGCATTTAGAAATAAGAGTGGGCTCCGTCGCCACCATAGTTCAGTGGAAGAGCACTGGTCTTGTAAACCAGGGGTCCTGAGTTCGATGCTCACTGGTAACTTTGCAAATATTTGCTCAAGCAGTATGTTGTTTACAATGAAAAGACGCGTAATCCGTGTTTTTCTTTTGATAGTGCATTCGATTCTGACTCGATGTATCCGAAATATTTCGATCTAGAAAAGGAATGTCTTTTTAGGAAGAGAAAACTTTCTCCTGCTTAAAAATTTAATATACGAGAGAAATATCACTAAAAAAACAAAACTGTGCATAGAGTAATAAGAAAGAAATCCGTCGCCGACATAGCTTAGTGGCAGAGCACTACTCTTGTAAAATAGAGGTCGCGAGTTCGATCTTCACTGGTGGCTTTGCGAATATTTGCCCCAGCAGTATGTTGTTTTCAATGAAAAGACGCATCCTCCGTGTTTCTCTTTTGATAGTGCATTCGCTTCTGACTGAAAAGTTTCTCATGCTTATAAATATATATATATATATATATAAACTAATATACAAGAAAAATGTCACTAAAAAAACAAAAATGTGCATTAAGTAATAAGATTGAACTCCTTCGCCATCATAGTTCATTTGAACAACACTGGTCTGGTAATTTAGGTGTTGTGAGTTCGATCCTCACTGGTGGTTTTGCGAATATTTGCTCAAGCAGTATGTTGTTTCTAATGAAAAGACGCATCTTCCGTATTTTTCTTTTGATCCTTCATTCGATTCTCACTCAATATATCAGGAATATTTCGATCCAGAAAAGGAATTTTTTTTTTGGAACAGAAAATTTTCTGAAACTTATAAACTAATATACGAGAGAAACAACAATAAAAAAACAAAAATGTGCATTTAGAAATAAGACTGAACTCTTTCACCATCATAGTACAGTGGAAGAACACTCCTTTTGTAAACTAGGGGTTGTGAGCTCGGTCTTCCCTGGTGGCTTTACAAATAAATGCTCAAGCAGTGAGTTGTTTCTAATGGAAAGACGCATGCTGCGTATTTTTCTTCTTATAGTGCATTCAATTCACAATCGATGTATCCGGAATATTTCGATCCATAAAAGGAATTTTTTTTTTGGAAGATAAAAGATTCTGAAACATCTGAACTAATGTACGAGAGAAATAACAATAAAAAAACAAAATGTGCATTTAGAAATAAGAGTGAGCTCCGTCGCCATCATAGATCAGTGGAAGAACTCTGGTCTTGTAGAATAGGGGTTGTGAGTTTGATCCTCAATGGTTGCTTTGCAAATATTTGCTCATGAAGTGTTTTGTTTCTAATGAAAAGACGCATGCTGCGCGTGTTTTTTTATAAAGCATTCGATTCACTCTCCATCTATCGAGAATAATTCGATCCACACGATTAATGTCATTTTTTTAATAGAAAAGTTTCTCATGCTTAAAAATTAATATACGAGAGAAATGTCACTAAAAAAATAACAATGTGCAATGAGTGATAACAGTGAAATCCATCGTCATTATAGCTCAGAGGCAGAGCACTGATCTTGTAAACCAGGGTTCGTGAGTTCGATTCTCACTGGTGGCTTTGCAAATATTTGCTCAAGCAGTATGTTGTTTCTAATGAAAAGACGCATCTTCCGTATTTTTCTTTTGATAGTGCATTAAATTCTCACTCGATATATCCGGAATATTTTGATCCAGAAGAGGAATTTTATTTTGTAACAGAAACTTTTCTGATGCTTTAAAACTAATCATCGAGAAAAATAACAATAAAAAACAAAAATGTGCATTTAGAAATAAGAGTGAACTCTTTCACCATCATAGTTCAGTGGAAGAACACTCGTTTTGTAAACTAGGGGTTGTGAGTTCGATCCTCACTGGTTGCTTTGTAAATATTTCCTCAAGAAGTGTGTTGTTTCTAATGAAAAGACGCACGCTGCGTGTTTTATTATAAAGCATTCGTTTCACATTTGATTTATCGGGAGTATTTAGATCCAGATGAGGAATGTCATTTTAGAAGATAAATTTTCTCATGCTTAAAAATTAATATACGAGAGAAATGTCACTAAAAAACAAAAATGTACAATGAGTATTAAGAGAGAAAACCGTTGCCATCATAGCTCAGTGGCAGAGCACTGGTCTCGTAATCCAGATGTCGTGAGTTCGATTCTCACTGGTGGCTTTGCAAATATTTGCCCAAGTATTATGTTGTTTCTAATGAAAAGACGCATCTTCCGTATTTTTCTTTTGATAGTGCATTCGATTCTCACTCGATATATCTGGAATATTTCGATCCAGAAGAGTTTAGTAAGAGAAAAGTTTATCATGCTTAAAATCTAACATACGAGAGAAATGTCACTAAAAAAACCAAAATGTGCATAGAGTAATAAGATTGAAATCCGTCGCCATCATAGCTCAGTGGCAGAGCACTGGTCTCGTAAACCAGGGGTCGTGAGTTCGGACTTCCCTGGTGGCTATACAAATTAATGCTCAAGCAGTGAGTTGCTTCTAATGGAAAGACGCATGCTGCGTATTTTTCTTCTTATAGTGCATTCAATTCACACTCGATGTATCCGGAATATTTTGATCCAGAAAAGGAATTTTTTTTTGGAAGAGAAAAGTTTCTGAAACTTTTAAACTAATGTACGAGAGAAATAATATAAAAAAACAAAATATGCATTTACAAATAAGAGTGAGCTCCGTCGCCATCATAGTTCAGTGGAAGAACACTGGTCTTGTAAAAAAGGGGTTGTGAGTTTGATCCTCACTGGTTGCTTTGCAAATATTTGCTCTAGAAGAGTGTTGTTTCTAATGAAAAGACGCATGCTGCGTGTTTTTTTAAAAAGCATTCGATTCACACTCGATCTATCGGGAGTATTTCGATCCAGACGAGGAATGTCATTTTTGAAATAGAAAATTTTCTCATGCTTAAAAACTAATATACGAAAGAAATGTCACTAAATAAACAAAAATGTGCAATGAGTGATAACAGTGAAATCCTTCGCCATCATAGCTCAGTGGCAGAGCATTGGTCTTGTAAACCAGGGGTCGTGAGTTCGGTCTTCAGTGGTGGCTTTACAAAATTTTTCTCAAGCAGTCTGTTGTTGCCAATGAAAAGACGCATAATCCGTGTTTTTCTATTCATAGTGCATTCGATTCTTGCTCGATGTATACGGAATATTTCGATCCAGAAGAGAAATGCCTTTTTTGGAAGAGAAAAGTTTACCATGCTTAAAATCTGATAAACGTGAGAAATGTCACTAAACAAACAAAAATATGCATTTAGTAATAAGATTGAAATCTGACGCCATCGTAGCTCAGTGGCAGAGCATTGGTCTTGTAAACCAGGGATCGTGAGTTCGATCCTCACCGGTGGCTTCGTGAGTATTTGCTCAAGCAGTGTGTTGTTTCTATTGAAACCACTCATGCTGCGTATTTTTCTTTTTATAGTGCATTCGATTCTCACTCGATGTATCCGGAATATTTCGATCCAGATTAAGAATTTCTTTTTAGGAAGAGAAAAATTTCTCCTGCTTAAAAATTTAATATACGAGAGAAATGTCACTAAGAAAACAAAAATGTACAATGAGTAATAAGAGAGAAAACCGTCGCCATCATAGCTCAGTGGCAGAGCACTGGTCTCGTAATCTAGAGGTCGTGAGTTCGATCCTCAGTGGTGGCTTTGCAATTTTTTGCTCAAGAAGTATGCTGTTTCTAATGAGAAGACGCATCTTCCGTATTTTTCTTTTGAAATTGCATTCGATTCTCACTCGATATATCCGGAAAATATCGATCCAGAAAAGGAATTTCTTTGGAACAGAAAATTTTCTGAAACATTTAAACTAATGTACGAGAGAAATAACAATCAAAAAACAAAAATGTGCATTTAGAAATAAGAATGAATTCAGTCGCCATCATAGTTCTGTGGAAGAACACTGGTTTTGTAAACTAAGGATCGTGAGTTTGATTTTCACTGTTGGCTTTGCAAATAAATGCTCAAGCAGTGAATTGTTTCGAATGGACAGATGCATGCTGCGTATTTTTCTTATTATAGTGCATTCAATTCACACTCGATGTATCCGGAATATTTCGATCCAGAAGAGGAATTTTTTTTTTGTAACAGAAAAGTTTCTTATGCTTTAAAACTAATGCACCAGAGAAATAACAATAAAAAAACAAAAATGTGCATTTAGAATTGTGAGTGAACTCGTACACCATCATAGTTCAGTGGAAGAACACTCCTTTTGTAAACTAGGGTTTGTGAGTTCGATCCTCACTGGTTGCTTTGTAAATATTTGCTCAAGAAGTGTGTTGTTTCTAATGAAAAGACGCATGCTGCGTGTTTTTTTATAAAGCATTCGTTTCACATATTATTTATCGGGGGTATTTCGATCCAGAAGAGGAATGTCATTTTTAGAAGAGAAAATTTCTCATGCTTAAAAATTAATATACGAGAGAAATTTCACTAAAAAAACAAAAATGTACAATGAGTGTTAGGAGTGAAAACCGCCGCCATCATAGCTCAGTGGCAGAGCACTGGTCTTGTATTCCAGAGGTCGTGAGTTCGATCCTCACTGGTGGCATTGCAAATATTTGCTTAAGCAGTATGTTGTTTCTAATGAAAAGACGCGTCCTCCGTATTTTTTTCTTTTGATAGTGCATTTGATTCTCACTCGATGTATCCGGAATATTTCGATCGAGAAGAGGAATGTCTTTTTAGGAAGAGAAAAGTTTCTCATGCTTAAAAACTAATATACGAGAGAAATGTCATTAAAAAAACCAAAATATTCATTGAGTAATAAGAGTGATATCAGTCCCCATCATAGCTCAGTGGCAGAGCACTGGTGTTGTAAACTGGCGGTCGAAAGTTCGATTATCACTAGTGGTTTTGCAAATATTTGCTCAAGAATGTTGTTTCCATTGAAAAGACGCATGCTGCGTATTTTTCTTTTGATAGTGCATTCCATTCACATTCGATGTATCCGGAATATTTCGATACAGAAGAGGAATGTCTTGTTATAAAGAGAAAATAATCTCATGCTTAAAATCTAATAAACGAGTGAAATGTCATTAAAGAACAAAAATGTGTATTGCGTAATAAGAGTGAAATCCGTTGCCATCGTAACTTATTGGCAGAGCACTAGTCTTGTAAACCAGCGGTCATGAGTTCCATCCTCGCTGGTTGCTTTGCAAATATTTGCTTAAGAAGTGTGTTGTTTCTAATGAAAAGACGCATGCTGCGAGTTTTTTTTATAAAGCTTTCGATTCACACTCGATATATCAAGAATATTTCGATCCAGAAGAGGAATGTCATTTTTGGAAGAGAAAAGTTTCTCATGCTTAAAAACTAATGTACGAGAGAAATGTCACTAAAAAAAACAAAAATGTGCAATGAGTGATAAGAGTGAAATCTGTCGCCATCATAGCTCAGTGGCAGAGCTCTGGTCTTGTAAACTAGGGGTCGTGAGTTCGATCTGATTCGAAATATTCGCGAATTTACAATCCCCAAAGACGTGTAAGAGTGTTACTGGAAAGGTGCCGTGAAGATTCTTCACATGATATAATCGAATATGTAGCGGCTGAGTACGTTTTGCCGAAATATTGGCAAAATAGTCGCGAGAGAGATTTAAACACGTAAACTCCATCACGTTACAAGAATTTTAAGCACTAATTTTTATGGGACATTGATTGCTTAAACTTTGACTTTAAACATACTTTTTTTTCAGCTGTTTTAAGGCTATCTGTTTTATTATGATCTTGTCTGACTCTGGGGAAAATACTCCACCAATATTGGTTTGTTTTTAATATTAGAATACGCTTTTTACGCTTTATCTATATTTTAACTTCTATTGAAACGACTTGTAACTCACGCACTTTGAATATTTTATCATGCTTTTAATATTTTTAAAAAAATTTGGCGCAGTATATATCCAAAGTTGGCTCTTGCGCCATTAGTCCAAACAATCCCTCACTCACTCACTGATGGCTTTGCGAATACTTGCACAAGCAGGGTGTTGTTTCCAATCAAAAGACGCATGCTGCATATTTTTCTTTTTATAGTGCATTCGATCATTCTCGATGTATCCGGGATATTTTGACACTGAAGAAGAATGTCATTTTTTGAAGAGAAAAGTGTCTCATTATTTGAAACTACTATACAAGAGAAATGTCGTGAAAGAAACAAAAATGTGCATTGGGAAATATGAATTAAATCCGTTGCCATCATTGTTCAGTGGCAGAGCACTGGTCTTATAAACTAGGATTCGTGAGTTCGATCTTCTCTGGTGGCTTTGCGAACGCATTCTCAAGTTCGTCGTTCTTTCTAATGAAAAGTCGCATGACGCTTATTTCTCGTTTTATGGTGCATTCATAACTCTTAGAGAGAGACCGATAAAAAGAACCTTTAAGACAGGACGTGTAATGAACTTATTTTGTTGGAGGCATTTAAGTCTGTAACCTTCAAACTAAATGGGTTACTTTTATATTTTTGTTTTTTTTAGTATAGGCTAAAAACAATTTTTATTGTAAACAGTATATTTAAAAGACAATTCATGTATTTTCTACCAATTTATAACAGTCAATATATAAATAAATAGAAAGCACAATTTTCTGCTTTTATTATTAATATAGATTTATATATTCATAAGAATTGCTCTAAATGAAAATATGATTTAATTTCAGCTGCAAAAGCAAAAATGATTTTGTACCAATAATCATATAATTTTCATGTGGCTGTGTAGAAAAATCTTGCTAAACCTGATTCAAATGTTATAAGGATTAATAAAATTTTAATAAAAATCGCAAATAATTAAAAATATATGAATATACTAAAATATTTGGTTCAAGTGTAGTATAGGAGGGGCCACTGTGGATTTGGCGATTTTTCTTCGGATTTTTCGATTTTAATCAAAATGTCATGGTGAGATATCGAATTCATTCAAAAATAAATAGTAAATAATACCGAAAAAAGTACCTTGGCGACCACTTTTAGTCACCAAAATAAAGGACTGCGCCAAGTGCATCCCCCCCCCATACTACCTTTGAACCAAATATTTAACTCTTTTATTTTTGTTTACAATATAGTTGCAATTCAACATTTGTTTTCCTAGTTTCATTTAATGTTTTTTTTTAAATTCAATCTTAATTTTTATTTTATAAACATGCCATATTTCTAATGAGCTTGTATACAACAAATAAATAATGAAGAATATTTATATCTTAAAATTCATATAAATATTGAAAAAACATTGAAATTGTTCAAAGTGAAATTTTTAATAATAAACGCACAATATTTAGAAGAGATTATTAGATTCACACATACTGAAACATTAGCATTAGTCTCAACAAAGCATATCGTGAAAATATAATTTATTGCACTTTTTTATTGTAATTATTTTGAAATTAGTCAATAATTTAAAAATAATTACAATAAAAAAGTGCAATAAAACAGAGGAGTTTGAATTCCAACACTGCAAATAATAATAATAGGTGCCTACAACGAAATAGAGCATTACACGTCCGGCCTTATTTGTTCCTTTTATCTATCAGACTTATTTTTTAAGTAAACATATACAGCCTAAAAACAACTCGACTTATTCGGGTTACCTTCAGACTCGTATTGTAAATAAACATGGCAGCGAATATAGCAAAGCAAGCCACAAAAAGTGTACGACCAATTTTGTCTACAAATAGGGATGAAGCACGAAGAAATGTTTTACGTTTATATAAGGCGTGGCACAGAAATCTTTTGCGCATAAGTAAACTATTATTCTATATTTCTCTTATTTTATCCTGGTATTATATTTAAATGTATTTTTATGCTTTTATTTTTAGCTATAAAATATTCCTTATAAAATTATAAAAAGAATCAGAGTAAACATTAAGTCCTATGTGTATGCGTCAAATATTATCATCATTTTTGTTGTAGTTGTTAAAATTTGATATTGTTTTAATTCCATTACTTTTCACCCTTTAAATATTATTTCGTGAAGTATTTAAACTTCATTGTTTGATATTTTAAACACAAAAGGATGTGTTATAGTATTAATATGTACAAAAAATTATTATTCAAAAATCCATATAATTTTTGTACAGTTTGTAGAATTTAAGCAGTGGTTTAGTTAACCATTGTGAGAATCACACATAATGTATGTTATTTGCATTAAATTTGGGGAAATTTTAAATTATTTCCAGGTCAAATTTTCTAAAGCTATATTATTAAAAATAAATATTCATATGTCTTACCAGTAATGCTATAGGAAATTTTAAAAATTAGTTGGGTAGAGTAAAAAGTAAGTATTGAAAACAAAGTGGTCCATTTTTGAAATTTTAAGTGATCTTGTATCTATAAACAAACATCTAACTCAGTAATGATTTCTAATTATTTGTTAGCTTTGTAAAATTAAAAATATTTCTCTGATATATGTAAATTTATAGTTCAGAACAGAAATAAAAAAAAACTGTGTAAGGGTATCCTATTTTGGAGATATTTGAAAACTTTATCATAACTCTTGGAAAAAAACTGTCTGAAAATAATACTAAGGAAAAAGCATAAGAACCTAAGGTTTGTCTTGTTCTTACTCTACTATATTTTTTTTATATGTATAAATATTTTGTTTGAGTTTGTAACAGTTTTGATATTTAAATGAAAAATTATTGATATTTATCTTAATTTTTATGATTGTACCTTAGTTTTATGGCTTGTATTTTGAAAAAATGCATATAACTTTTAGTAATAATTTAAAAAATTTTGGCTATAATACACTCAGGAACATTGAAAATAGCAACCCAGGAAAGAAGCTAAGTACAATCACGAAACTTTGCAAATAAGTACAGCGTAATGTGATATGCAAATGATCAAAGTTTTGTGCCAATACGAATGCTCATACACGCCGAGGTGGCGCTACAATCAGGAAAAGGGTGCTATATAAGCCAGTGCAAATTCGAAGATTCATAAACGTGACGATTACCCACCGATTGTAGGAAGACTTTGGTAAGCGAAACATGCCAGGTAAACGTGCTAGAAGACATTTCTCACAGTTAAGCGAGTTTGAGAAAGGCTTGATCATCGGGATGAAAACTGCAGGCTGGTCGACGCGCCGTGTTGCTGGCCAGGTGGATCGTTCGGAATGTGCCGTTAGAAATTGTTGGGAGCAGTGGACACGAGAAGATACCCACGCGCGGAAAACCGGGTCTGGAGCGAAAATGAAGACCACAAGGAGAGAGGATCGAAGGATCGTGTGGCAAGCACTTGTGGACCCCACAGAGACTCGTTCAACGATACGAGCAGACGTAGGCGTAGCAATTGTTCCACAAACAATTTCCAGATGCCTTGCAGAAGCAAATCTTAAATCCAAGCGCCCTTTCCATGCACTCCCTTTAACGCCGGAACATCGGCAACTGCGTCTATAGTAGTGCCAAAACAGATCAATGTGGAATGTCACAGATTGGCAACAGGTTGTGTTTAGTAATGAATTCCGGTTTGTTTTGGGGATGGATGATAACCGTGTATAGGTTGGAGGCGCCCTGGTGAGCGGTACAATTCCCCCACACTGTTCCACGTCACACTGCCCCCACAGCTGGTGTAATGGTCTGGGGGGCCATAGCTTATGATAGCCGGTCCACTTTAATTGTGATGCGTGGAACCTTTACGAGCCAACGTTACGTTGATGATATTCTTCGACCCCATGTAGGACCTTTCCTGAATGGTCTCCCTGGGGCAATTTTCGAGCAAGATAATGCTCGCCCACATATAGCAAGAGTTGCTCAAGACTTCCTATGGCATTTTCAGACTCTTCCATGGCCTGCCTGCTCCCCCGATTTGTCCCCTGTAGAGCATGTGTGGGATCAGCTAAAACGGCAGATGCCATCGTATCACTATGTACATGATTTAGAGTTGGCTGTTCAAGATTTGTGGGCCTATCTGCCTCAGGACAACATAAGATGTCTAATCAACTCAATGCCAGACCGTGTGGTGGCATGTATTGCTGCTGGAGGTGGTCCAACGCGCTATTGAAGTTGCCCAGTATTCGTGTCATTGCACACCCTGTATTCGTTTAATTATCTTGTTTTTGAGATCAAGTGAATCTCTCATCTGTGTCATTATGTGTATTAAATTTCATTTCAATCCGATGCTTTCTTCTTGGCTCGCTATTTTCAATGTTCCTGAGTGTATATTGATTGTAGTTATGCAGTGTTTATTTCGTAATAACATCTTAAGATAGTTTTTCTTAGTACTATAGTTTAGGAAGTTATGTAAGATAATATACTGAATTCACACTAAAGAAATTTTGAAATTTTTTATCTTGGCAAGCCAAGTGGACACTTAACAATGGCTACAAAATAAAGTTATTTATAGTTAATTGAATTTTACAAAATTACAATCAAAAGCTGTTAAATTGTACCAAAGTTTTGTAAAAATGCCATATTTATTCAAATCTAAGCTGCCATCAATCTCTCCCACTCAATATAAGTCCCACATCAAATTCTCAAGTTATTGTGAAAAATGAAGGTGTTAGTTTAATATTGGGGGTAATAGCGCTGAGTTGTTGTTTATGTTCGCCAAGATGGGCGATAACATTACAATATTGTTACCTTAATATTTTTATCGTCTGCCGATGTGGTTGCCATGGGGATTACGTATATTAGAAATAACTTTTATTGGTTTTTTCCTGCTGTAACCCTTTTAATTTCAGACGATTTTAATAAAAATTTCTAATTTCGGTAAAAATTGAACCATTTTCAGTGTAATTTTTCTAGCGTTTGCGTCTTCTGTATAATTCTGTGCTATTTTCGAATATGAATATTTCTAAAATGAGTGAGTACTAGAATATTCTTTTCTTAGAAGAATAAGTGTTGTGCTTTTAATTATCGCTATAAATTGTTTACTTTCGTTTTATTTTACATTTTAAAAATGTTTTTTTTTACGTTCATTTTTCGATGCAATTTGTTGAAGGAACTTGCAGTGCAAGTTTCATATTGCAAGCTTTCACTACTTTGTAATTAGAATTATTAATTAATTTTAACATACATTATGTAATTATTTAATTCATAATTTAATACAAAATTGCAATTATTACTTTTTTAATAATCATCTAATATTCGTTATTCATAATTTTTTTAACATTTATATATAAATATTATTACATATTTTCTTATTTATTTATAATTAATATTATTTATTTATATTTATTACTTTTATTTCTTTATAATTATTATGTTATTTATTTATAACTATTTTTGTTGCTTAATTAAAGCTATTATGTTATTTATTTATAATTATGTAATACGA